CACTTTTTTCAATTTCGTGTTTTCAACTGAGGTGTGGACAGAAGAAAGTCTGCTCAACTAGGCAGGAAGCCACTAGGAGACAAGTATTCCCTTTATTTATCAGTACTACACAGTATATGAAGAGAAGGCCTTGTGCTGTATGTGGAAAGCCTGCTTGCAATGTACAAGGAAAATGCACTTCTGAAGATACAAACATGATTCTTCATTAACTGAAGGCAAAAGAAAAGGAAAAGTAATGATTCTACTGTGAAAAATGACTGGTTTAATATCTATTATAGCATCTTACTTCTACCCTCCACTGAAAACGTTTGAAAACTCTTTTATTACAATAGGCGTAATGCTTTTCTGGGTTTTTGAGGGGGAAAAAAGTCAAAATTTTGAAGCAAGCAGATATTACGTAACACAAGGCATTAAGGTGCCAGAGACAGATTAAATTAACATTGTAACAAAACAGATTGATACCAAAATGCTGGTCGGCAAGTCACGATACTGTGACAAACTCCTGCGCACAGCTCTGCAACACCCTGTGTGCCTAACCGAACTCAGCCCTACCTCTCGCCAAAGTGGGATGCTGCCCTTTGTCCTAAAGGCAGCCTGCAGTTCGTGGAGTCATTGACTCCTGTAAGAGAACTGGCTGAAGAAACAGTTTGTGCCGATTTCAAAATTCCTGTATCCCTGGGAAGAGGGGAAGCAGAGGCAGGAATCTTACATATCCCAGCTCCACCCTGCATCACAACTTCCACTGTGTTCAGAAATCCCCTCAGGGGGATTTCAGTAACCAACAGTCTTGGCCAAGATCAAATCATTCATGCAGCAAAGACCCTCTCTCCATCAAATTCCACCTAATACCATAGAAGGTGCAAAAAAAGAATCTGCATTGTGAAAGATTCAAATGGTATTGCTCTTCATTTCTTCATAATTACTGGATAGTTTCTTACATTTAAAGAAAATGAAACTGCAGAGTAATTTGGCGTATGTCTAGTTGAGCTCTCCCTTTCCCCAGTAGCTACTAGCCCAAAACTGTATTAAGTGATTTTTTTATTAGCCACATGGAAAAAGGAAGCATTTATTTTTTACATTAAAATATCAAAACTCAATGTATCGGTTCTTTCCAGATAAGCAACAAACTGAAATTACTGGAACTGTATGAGTTAAGTAAACTGTAAAGTTACCAACTTCAGTCATGGTGATAAAATGATTTCTCATTTAAGGGCAGAAAATATAATTTGGAATATTGAACTGTACTCACTGATTGAGCAAAAAACCGCCATTCCTCAAGTTCAAGCACGATTAAATTTCATAAAAACCTAACACTTTGCAGGGAAATAAAAACACAAATATTGTTCTTTCAAATGTACCTCATAAGAACTTGGAAGTTTTAATTTTAAGCTGAGAAACTTTTTGATAGTTCCCACGGTCACTCGAGTCGAACAACGGATAAATTTCTTCATTAAACCCTAAAGCAACAGCAACAAACCAGAAAAAACATGTTAGAAATTTTGGAGCATGTAAGCTATCTATAGTGCACGAACAACTGTAATTGGCACTTTTTCCAACCAGTAACCTGTTGTTACACTCTCTCCTAACTCATAATGGCACCATAGGTTCTTTTTAGTTTTTTTCCAAAATTTACAAGATGACAAACAAGTTCATTTGACCCATCTCTGTTTCTAAAGAAATTTCCGAAAGATACAGAAAGGAGGAAGGAAAAAACTCAAACAAAACCAGACACACAAAACCCCTAAACGCAACAAACCAAAAATAATCCAAGTGCCTGTGTTAGTAACACTGGGTGTCAAACCAATGTTCCATTTCTTAGAATTCCTTTAGTCCTTGGGAGAAAAAGGAAGTAAAAACATCCTCAAATCATCTAGGTAAAATCCAGGGAAGCTACAAATTTAAGATATGATCTGTTATCACAGAGTTTGTCATCCAGAACCTAATAGTTTTGATTCAACAGGAAAAATGGAAATCTGAGACTCCTTCTTTGTGATGGAGGTATAGACTTCTTACTGTATATAGCATAAACAAACAGTGATGACACATAAATATGTTTTCTTGTTGAATCAAAAGCTTTCTTAACGTGTAGGAACGTTCAAATTTATACATATAACAGCACACAGAAAATAAGTAATGTTTTATTAGACAATTTAAAAATGTTTTTTTAATTCCTCTCTTTGTAATTTAATAAAGCATTATTAGAATCTAAGAGGATTTCTAAACACTTTCTTCTAGACTCAATACCATGAGGCAATTTTCCCTTCAGGAAGAGAAGCCAACTATCCCTAACTCTTAAAACAGTAGTTAGCATGTATTACTCTACACTTTTTACAGATGGAAGTGACCTGCCCAAGGCCACAGACGACATATCAGTGTCACAATCAGTTTAACAGCCCAGAATATCTGGAACCCAGTCATTCAGTGCACAACAGATCTGAAAAGCAGCCTCATGCTGGCACAGTAAGACAGCAATCCTGAAAGTGTGACGCAGCTCACCTACAGCTAGCCTAAGTACCTCTGTGGTAGGGTGAAATCTGTTGTGTAATGCAGTTACATACCACCAAGGCTACAGACTACAAAACTATAATCCTTTTAAAAAAAAAAAAAATCCACTGTCACAGATTGATTTCGACATGGACCTGTATTTTTTTACAAAATTCCAAGATGCACTGAAATGCCTCAAACAAAAGGACTAAATAAGCATGGAAGTAGAGACAGGTCACCACATTAAAGTTTGTTAATGGTTATAAAATGATATTGTTCCTTTAAGATGCTATTCTGCCAACAATGTCAAAAGTACAGATTATCTTTACTACTCACTTTGACTACATTATCTCCTGACTGCCCATTGTTGCGTAAACAGTCGAGGCAGATAGCAATCTGTGGGTCACTCCTGTGATAATCTTTATCTTCTTCATTTTCATCACACTCCTCATCTACTTTGGGTTTATCAGCTTTGGGGCTTTCATCTGTGAAATATGAAGAACATATTATTTAAGTGTAAAACAATCAAAAGTCACAGTAGCAACAAACATATTTAAAGTAATACTTAATTTTCAAGATCATATTTCTTCTTCCAATTAATGTTGACACTTTTAATTCAGTGCATTCTTAAATTGATCAATTTACAAGTCTCTGAAAACAAAGTTTTATTATTGAAATTTTAATATAATATGCAAGAAACAGATTTCTACGTCACAGGAAAGAACTAGGCTGATCACTAACGATTATGGCTGTACACTGCTGCTTATGTCCACCGACTAAAACCCTGCAGCTGCACATGCAACAAGATCACTCAACCATGTACACCTACTCTGTGGTGTGGCAGTTCACTGCCAAAAAATATTGCTTTTGAATAAGCAGTGAAAAACTAATCCCAACACTTGCATAGCAAAGTAACAAGGGTATTAAGTTCATATTAACTGTCTGCCACAAGAACCCAGTGGAGACAAGTTCCTGAAATGTTATCATGAAGTAAAGTAAGGGAAAACAAAACTTCACTTTCATCCACTTTTGACCTAGTCTAAGCAATGCCACTATAAAAACCCCAGGTGTGTCTCTCCAGAAGGATTTTATCACTAAATAGCCATATACTTACTTATTCCCCTGTAAAAACAAAAAATGTAAGAAAAGAGGAATGGTCCCCATATTTTTTGGTGGAGCACATATATCCTATATAATCACATATACCATGTTATCTTGTTTCACTAATGCTGTTACATGTTCTATTGATTCCTGGTTTTAAAATCTAACTCTATGAAGAAGGTACAATCTACAGTTTTCAGAAGTTTACCATAGTTGAACACTTGAATAAGATGAGCAACTGCATCTAGACAAAGCTGCAATATATGTAAATAATAACCATACAATGAACCATAACATGGAGTAATTTTTGCAATTTGGAACACAGTATACAACAATCCTATTACACACATTTGGGTTTTTTCTATATCCCCAACTCATTTATTTTGATTTAAAACAAAGGCTGCTCTCTGTTGGAATAAAATATTGTCACAAGTAACTTGAATAAGCTACTTCTGCATTTCCCGAAAAACTTTCAGATCAAATTCTGCTGTTTTCCTACACTTACCACAAATGACTTCTCAGTCATTTAGAAGAGTTAAAATAGGAAAGCATAATGAAAAGTGTAACAAGTATCAGGCTGTGCTTAAGTTTCTAGACATAGTAATTATTTAATTTCATTGATTTTACATATTCAAGATGAGTTTTAAGCTACATTCATTATCTTTCTTTCCTACAATTTTGAAGTATTTCGTAATTATAAGAGATTTGTCCACAACTCCCTACTAGCTGCTGACACATTCAGCTGAATGTGTGTCATACACTTTGTTCCAACCGTCTTGCAACGAAAAGAATTTACAGTATCTAACTACAGATTTTTTTTCCTCTTTGAGAAAGTCCAGGAAGCAAACTCGTTTAATCAAGCAGGTGCAGTCTACCTGGCACAAGCACTTGCCTGAGAAGTCACAGATCCTTCAGCAATGCAAACACATCCACAACTTTCAGCAGTTATCACTGCTGAATAATGCAGGAAGATTTAGTTACGCAGTTTGAAAAGTCTCGAAAACCAACGAGACAGCTAGGGAAATTATCAAATTTCCAATCATAAAATCATTCAAGAAACAGGTACACACAAAAAATGTCGCATCTTTCAAGGTTTTCTGATAGAAAATCAAATGCTCCTCTGTGTAAATAGCACCAGGCTATTTACTAAAAAATCCTTGTAGATATCAGAATTAATGATGTTTGTAGAGGCAGCCTCCAGAAATCAATGTGATGGTCCATTACAGGTGAGTTATTAATGTTCAATACGATAGAAGTTTAAAAAAAAGTAAAAGAGAAAAAAGAAATTCTAATGTCACCAAACTGGGCTTAGTGTTCTCCAAGTCAAGAGCATCAAGCCAAAAACAGAAGACAGGAAAACCAAACCAACACCCCACCCATCTCGATGCCTCCTTCCTTAAGGCATAAATTGATATTTGTCTTTTTTTCCCCCCTCACATTTCCAGCAAACCTTAGAAACTGTCTATTTCCCATGCTTTTCTCACACAGTCAATGTAAAACTGATCACCATAGAGTGAGGCAATGTAAAGCTGTTTGCTCTCTTCTTTCTCCAGTTAGGCTGGAGAGGACCAATAAAGATTTTTTTTCTCTGTTCCACGGTATGTCTCCTATCATCATCTGTCAATTCTCACTAGTAACCACTCTCGTAGTAGAGTCAGCAATGCCTGAGATGTGCTTTGTTGTTTAAGGTTTTTTTTCTTCTGATATGTGAAAATTGTAAGTCCTGGGAACTGTGAAGTCCTGGTAAGTTGGGAACTGTGTTCTGACCTTTTGTACAGGACATAACCATGGACTCTTTTAAACTCAACTGTGTGTTTGCAAGGCATGGTATTGACAACTGAAACAGTCCCTTCTTCCTGAGATTATTCTCACACAAGATTCTAAATCCTTGTTTATGGCAGAAAACAGTTTAAATGTTCGTAATTTGTCTCAATGAGTTATCATGACTTTTAAATGGTTTGTAGAGCCAAATTTCCATAGCCCAAGGACACAGTTTCTAACAGAGCTGGATACATCTGTGGCTACTTAAAAGTATATTTTGAGAGTTAAAGCCTTCCTCTGATTCACAAAACAATCCAATAACTCATTACACTTAGTAAACCTAATGGAGATCAGTTGCTATTAAATTATGGGAGGAAGGTAGGAACCTGAAGAGTAAGCTGACTAAAAGTAAGTCATATTGTACAAATTTGAAAATTGTTATTTTTAACGTATATAGCATTAAATAATTTTTAAAACAATCAATAAAATTCTATATTTAATTAAAAAAAAACTAAGTATTTTTAAAACTGAATAGGTATACACTACACAGGTCCTTGTAGTAAACTAATATAATTTCACCTATTCAACTGTCCTGCAGTTCTTCATTTAATTATATGACAAAGAACCTTGTTCCTTACAACCAATGCTAAATGCAAATCAACAGAACTAGGAAGAAAGAACACAAAATGTCATGAAGTTGAAAAAAAAGATATTATAAAAGAGTTGAGTGCAGAAGAGTATTGCAAGACGTTTACTTGACAGTGATCCTTTACTAAAAACAGCTATTTCTTTACCCCAGCAGAGCCTTTCAAAAATTCTTAAAAATGCCCAAGACAAACAGGCTATGGTATCAAAACCTTGATGTCAAATTAGAGGGGCATAAAAACTGTTGGATATAGTCCTCAGTTAGCACCTCAATACTGGGCTCTCAAAGTTCATGGGTCAACTACCAATAAAAAAAAAAAAAGAAAACATTTTGGAATCTACATAAAACAATTGTTTAGCATGTGTGGAAAACTGTTTTACTACTTGTCATAAATAATTCTTGACAACCTCCTACTTAACAGCTGGTCAAATTCAGTAACAGAAATAATCTGTAAAAAGCTCAAGTCATTCTGCATCTTGCTGTATTAAGAAAATTAAGAATTCAAGTGGAAAATTGCATGAGAGTTGAAAAGTGAGAGCTAAAGTGAGAGCTTCGGGAAATGCAAATGAAAATAATGGTAAAACAGCTAGTGTTTGTAAAACAACTGGTTAATAGATAAGCAGCAGTACATGAAGACCTAGACTACATTTACATAGATTTGTTATGAGTTTCTGTAGTATCTTTCAATTCCATAAAAACAATGTACATGCATAAGTGTTTGAAGAAATGGAGCTACACGAGCAATATTACTTAACATACAGATGAAAGAAGAAAAAAAAAAAACCATCACCTCCTTGTCCATTTTCTTGAGGTTTGTTTTTCTTCCAAAATTCGATCTCTCGCTGCAGTTCCTCTAGTTAACATCAAAGAACAGTAATGTGAATTTTAAAATCAATACTACAGGCACATCATTAGAAATAGCCATATTCCCTCCATCAATCCAAACAGATACCCAAAACCAACTGAGAAACTTACGTTCTCGAAGTCCAGGCACCAGCTTAAATATAATTTCCTCCAAGGTGTTATCCAGCCTTTCAAAGGAAAAAAATAGATTTCACATTAAGTAGAAACTAGGATTTAAAATATTTTTAGCCTTTAAATAAAATAAAAACTTTGAATAAGAAAATGAATTGCATATTTCTGGTAAATAATACATCCTGCAAAACCCAATTGATTTTACTTGAGAGACAACAGGCATTAAAGCTTATTTCAACAAGCTCTTGAATGGATTTCTTTTACAAATAACCAAAGATTTTATTTTTTAACGTATAAAACCAAAAATGAAGCAAAAGAGAAAACACAGTCTAAAATTTTCATTATTTTAATTTGTGCTACATGCAAACAATTGTGTTACTAAAAGGAACAAACTAGAAAAGTAGTATCCAATTTTAAGGGCCAGGTCATGAGCATGAAAATGATAAACTCCATTATCACATTATCATATTAAATGTTCAAGTGCTTTGGTAATAAGGCTGTTTTGAAAAACTGAACAGACTATCCCCTACTCATTACAGAACAGACAAACCTGTCTTGGCAGGAAGACGACGACCACAGAGCATCCACGCTGCTCTGGCTAGACAGTTCGCAGTACCCAACAGAACTCATTTAAACCGGTCAAGCCTGCCATCAGTTTGCCTACTAGACGACAGTTTGCGGCACAGGCATATGCCCTGATACGCTGATATTAGTGCCAGACATAGCCATTACAGATCCTTTCACAGGACACAGTGCATTTACCTTTGTGGCTGAAGCAAAAGTATTTTTCTTCCCTTTTCTCTGTATTTTACCTACTCTCCCACCCATTTAATTTATAATTCGCTTTCTAGTTCCACTTCCTCTCCCTGTCTCACCCTCCAGTTTCCTTTCTCTCCTCTGCCCCCCTACTCCTTCTCTTGTGAACAGTAACTCCCACTGTCCATATCCTCAACAAAAACCCATGACTAAACAAAGTACTATGTAATATGGCCAGAAAAATTAAGTACCTTCAGATTCAGTCAGAAGCTACAATACAATAATTGCCTTGGTATAGTTTGAATTGACTTACTTTTTCACCTCAATAATGAAGTGTATCTCTCTATATGCATATATATTTGCATATACACTTAGATGTATGTGTACATCTTATTAATATTTCACTATAGGCCTGTTATGAAACACATGACTCTAGTTTACTAGCAGTGGGAAAGTAGGGAGATGACTGAATGATTTTATTGCTGAGGAATACGTAAAGCCATTTTAATATGATAACAATATCTTAATAAATATATGAGCATTCCAAGTTCTCTTCTTTACAGAATTTGTATTTGTAAATGAAAGTTTACAATTAGAACTATTACCCAATCATGTTGTTCTGTGACTAGTTCCTGTGTTATCCATCAGTTCATGGAGACAGTCATACTATAAGAATATTCATGTGCAAGCTACAACCAGGCACATCCATTTTTTAATTGCTGCTTCTTATAAAGGCAAACCCCCAAGTCTTCAGCAAGTGGAACAGACCTCGCTTAAAACAAAACAGCATAGAGCATGCTTTTTCACTGATAAGAAGGAAGCCAAAATCATGTGGTATCTGAGCACTTAGCCTCTGATAGATGACAATATAGGTCTACCTTTGCAATAGTTATGTTATCTTTTCTAGCCGCTCCTATCAATATCTAATGCAACTACATGGTACTGCTTTCTCTGAAGTTCCCACAGCGCAGCACTGGGAACTTGGGAACCTGTCTTAGAAATGGAATTCGTTTCACATTATAAGAAAGGTCCAATCATAATTTACTATTAAGAGAAAAGAAATAATAACTTAAAAAAAACCCCACAACAACAAACCAGCCATCACCAACTTAATTCACAATTCCACAAATCATTCCTCAGGATGGTATAAAGCATGTTATTTTTTCTGCATTTATTTCTGAAAATTCCCACTTAGCACTTTCCAATTCATCTTCAATGGCCCAAAACAAAAGTTATTGGTAAGACTAACATAGCATGAAGAGCAGTGTACTTAGCAAATTTACAATGCTAGCAGCAAGAACTAGTTTCATACTCTAGTCAATGACTGTTTTCTTTCAAAAGCTAAACAAGAAGAGCTGTTTCATCCTTATGAAGAATAAATACTAACCCGTACTCTAAAAATGCAGAAAAAAACCCCACTTATCTGATTTTTAAGTACAGGGAACCTAAACTTAAATTATAGGGAAAAAATAAGAAATTATAAAAAGACTCTCAATTTCAGATGCATCTTACAGGGTTCCTATTATCCATGCCTGTGAGCACTCTAACAAGTATTTTATTTCTGTGACTCTCATCAAACTCATTCCAAAATGAAACTGTTCAACATAACTCCAAAGTTGGTCTCAGTCATTTAATATGATACTTCCTGTTAATGCTGAAACAAGAACATTAGTATTTTAGACACGTCTCTTTCCACCCTCTCATCTTTCAACCTCCAAACCAGAATGTATAGATAGAGGAGTACTGCGTTCAGCTCTAGGGTCCCACCATAATGGGGAGACGGAACTGTTGGAGCAAGTCCAGAGGAGGCCACAAAGATGACCAGAGGGCTGGAGCACCTCTGCTATGATGAAAGGCTGAGAGAGTTGGGCTTGTTCAGCCTGGAGAAGAGAAGGCTCCGGGGAGACCTTATTGCAGCCTTCCAGTACCCGAAGGGGTCTACAAGGAAGCTGGGGGGGACTTTTTACAAGGGCCTGTAGTGACAGGACAAGGGGTAACAGGTTTAAATTGAAAGTGGGTAGATTTAGATTAGATATCAGGAAGAAGTTCTTCACAGAGAGGGTGGTGAAGCACTGGAACAGGTTGCCCAGAGAAGCTGTGGATGCCCCATCCCTGGAATTGTTCAAGGCCAGGTTGGATGAGGCTTTGAGCAACCTGGTCTAGTGGAAGGTGTCCCTGCCCATGGCAGGAGGGTTGGAACTAGAGATGGTCTCCAAGGTCTCTTCAGTTCTATGAAGAACTAAGTGTATGTCAGCTTTGTATACTTTCTTCTTTCATCTCTCCTATAATACTGAACAAGTGTCACAGTCCAACTCCAGCCAGAAAAATACCAAGAAGCTGCTCTCACACCTCCCCTCCCTTTCCTCCAGCAGAGGGGAAGAAGCAGAGGAAAAAGTCAAGGAAGCTTGTAAAATCAAGGTAAGAACTATTTGCTAACTGAATATAAATGAATAATATATTCATAAATGAATATATACAAGTACTACTAATAGTAATTAAAATAATAGAAAATAAAACATGATACAACTGCTCACCACCTGCCAACCAATACACAGGCAGGTCCTGAGAAGTGCGAGTAAGAGCCCGAGAGCCATCGCAGCAGAGGCTGAGCAAGCCCTATCAGCGACAGCACAACCAGGAAAACTAACAAACCCACCAACTCACGAATGAGCCAGCAAAGGAGTTAGCCAAGCAGCTATCAAAGGAGTTAAGGAGCCAGCAAAAGAGTGTAGAGTGTTATAAAGTGTCAAGAGTCAGAGAGTGTAACAGCCCTCAGACCAACTCCTCACTTATGTACCGAACATGACGTACTATGGAATGAAATACTCCTCTGGTCAGTTAGGGTCACCTGGCTGAACTGTGTGTTCCCCCACACCGCCTGTAGCGAGAAAGCTGGGAACGCAGCTGCAATATCAGAAGCTGAGGGAGACCTTGAATTTGGTGCAAGCACTTCCCAGCACCAACTAAAAACATACCTTATCAGTACTTTCTCAGCATAAATCCAGAAACCTAGTTTCATACCAGCCACAGTAAAGACAGTTAACTCTTTTCTGACTAAAACCAGCACAATGAGTTACAAGATCAAAGCTACTCTGTCTGATAATTTAATTTTCTGAAGTGAAGCAAATGAAGACTATCACTCAGGAAAACTTGCATCCAGAGCTGCATGCTACCAACAAAAAAAGAAGCCTGTCTTCATGGTATAACCAACACAGGCCTTATTCAATACTGATGATGCAGAATTCTGCTAAATCAGAAAAGGGAATTCTAGAATTTAACACTCTTCCTAGATTTTCATTTTAGAGCTCAGTGTTGAATTTCAGACTTAGGCTTATAGTTTCAACAGACCCTGTGTGCTTTCCACTAAAAGCTACATCTAAAAAACTCACATAGTTATGAAGTTATTCAGAATTGAGTTTATAAAGTAGTTTATGAAGTTCATCTTGAAGATCTCAGTTAAAAATGCTATCGAGTGTTCAATGCCATTTCTCAGAAAGTGACTGCATTCTTGAGCAATGATTGGGCTGGTCTCTACAGTCAGAGTATAAGACATATAATAAGTTATGCCAGCAACATCCAAAAAAGATAATTCCTTTGCACTACTTATGTGGTGTTCTGATGATAAGTCTAGCAAATGTTCAAAACTGTTTCATAAAATGCAACCAGCAAACTACTAGCTATATGCAGTTTGTTGGCAAATAAACCAAATTACTCTAAAAGGAGTTTCAGGAAATAATTACAGACAAAATAGCTCTTCCCACATTTCTGGCTTGTGGTCTCAACATTTCTCACCCTTTTATCATTTCCTGCTTAAAGCACAGTATTCATTTACTAAACATCTACTAGATGTTTCAGAAAATGCATTTTTCAGTTCCTGTGAAATGGTCCTGTCAGAATAAAAGACATATGTCTAAAATGCTTTTGTTTTCAGCTTATTAGTTAGTAGCCTTATGCACTCTGTATAGCATCTTCTGTTACAGCTGACACAGCATCTCAGACACTGACAGGAGATCTGAAAAATGCTTATGGTAAAGAGCTATATAAACCCTTTTAGCCCTACCCTTCCGAAAAACATTCAGATGATAAAGACTTATGCAAATAACAACCTTCAGAGCTACTGAATTTAATCTCTCTCACCTATCCTTTTGGTATGTAATTGAAGCGTGGGAATTGCTCTGCACACCTATCAGTCAAAAATCAAAGCAAAATATGACAAATTTTAGCCAACTCAACGACATTAGGAAATCATACCAACTCCAGTAAATTCCAGACGTAAATATTTATTTTAACATTGATTTAAGAATACTTCTTCCTAAATTCACAACAGTATTACAAGCTAATAATATTGCAGGGGGTGTGTAGGGGTGGAGAGAGTGTTGGGAGTGAGCTCAGGGAGTGGCTCCATCATTTTAGGAAAACATGAAGTTCTTCCACTTACGGTGACATTTCTTGATTTCTCTGTACTATACCTGTAGGATGGCTATCACCTTTGTTTCAAAATAAACCCTAGAAGATAATCCAGAATTTCAGGAAAAATAATTGTTTAAAAAAAAAAAAAAAAAAAAATGTGTTATTGTGACATAAGAAATGCAAACTCTCAAGAAAGGGTATTTTTAGTGTCAAAACTTTCTTTCATGAGTGTCTTTACATTAATCTGACAGCAGACTTCTATTCAGATTGGTAGATATATGTTGTGGAAAACATTCAGTTATTTGCACGACTGATTTTCTACATTGTTCTAAGAATAAGTTGCATGCAGTTGGAATGCTCTAAATTGTTTGGAAAAAAGAAACTAGAATTTAATTTCATGTAAAGAATAAAAAATATCTAGTTCATTTGTATGTTTAATAGTGGTATTAAAATATTTATTTTAATTGGTATAATATAACCAGTGTTTCTGTGTCTTTCCCTTATCTTTACTCCCTTTATTATATCTGAAACAACTCCATTTACAGTTTACTGAGAAATCAGAAATTGAGAGAACCTATGGCCAAGAACAGTTGATATATATGTATTATACAAAATAAGACAAAAAATAACTCCCATTCATGATAAAGATACTATTTTTATTTTATTTTTCTGTTCTTCCATTTCAGCAAATGTTGTGCAATGTCATCTTACCTTAACATTTCTAGTGGATTGGTCTCATGCACTTGGTTGCCACACCTGGGACAGTCATTGCTGTCTTCAAAGTGTTGAACAATACAAGTCTTACAAACTGAGGGACAAAAGAAAAAAAAAAGAAAAATAACAACTTAGACTAAGACCTGAATAATAGTGCTTGAACACGACTTGATGATACCAGTTAATTACTTCATGCATCAAAGATAAAAGTGCATTATTTTAAACCAAATAATTACAATATATCTTATCAAATTCTTGTTCCTCAAAGCCACAGCAAGTTCTGCTCTGCCAAAACACCAAGTTCAGCAGCACACGTTAGACAAGCATTGCTTTAAAGTATGCAGTATTTTTACTACTTAGAATTCTCCCAGCATCATAAAATGCAAACCCCATACCATGTCACACATGAAAAGAACAGGTTCTGAGAAAATGCATGCTGGGGAGCTCTAGCCCAGCAGAGCCAATCATCACTCCAGATGATTCGGAAATGACTTATGCACATTATTTTCTTTCCAACAGTGTTGCTGGCAACTGAAAATACTGTTATAAATACCTGTTGTGAGAGAAAAGTTCACAGTAATTGTACACAAGTTCAAAGTGGCTATGTTTCCCTTTTGACACAGCGTCTTCAAAAGCAATGACAGAACTTAAGAGTAAACATTTAATCCTTGAATCTTATAATGAAAAATCAGGATCATGACCATGGCAAGTATAACCAAAACCAAAACAACAATGTGAATTTCAAATCCAATATACTGAAATTAAACAAGGTGCTACACTAATGTTGCTTCCAAATGATTAATTGCAGACCATAGATTTTACTGCCACTAATAAGAAAATGGAAGCAAAGCTGATGAGAACAAATATGCCTGCTATTATTACTGTGTTACAACATTCTGAATGGAGATAAACTCTATCCTCTGCTTATTATTACTTCACCTAAACTGAGAACTGCAAATTCATCAGTAAATGGACTGCTGCAATTGCAATATGCTTTCTGCTGAATCACTGTAACTTCTTTCATCAATTACCTAAAGAACTAAGGGTACTATTAAAAAAGCTGGTAAATCCTAATTATATGACAATCTTTAAGGAATCTTGAAATTCCTTTAATAAATGTCACCTAATAAGCAAAGTCTGCATTCATCTTTGCCTTAGTACACTCAACAGAGTCACTACAAATCAGCTGACGCTGATAATGCAGACACATTAAACCTTTGTGTAGGTGTTTTTTCCAACTGCTTTAAAACACTAACTTAAGGACATTAACTTCACAGCTTTGGTTGAAATTAAAATGAACTTTTCCCTTCAAGTCTGACAATAGACTTCAGAGCTCCCTGGCTGGCTCTTGGCACTCTCCCCAAGCTAAATGGCTCTAGCACTGCTGGATGCAGGGCAGGTTCCTGGTGTTCTGTTAAAATGAGCTGGGGAAGCCCTAGAGTCCTGCCAAACAAGCCCAGCAAGTGGGCTGCAGTGCTGTCCTTAACTCCAAAGCAGCAGAGAACACCGGTGCTATGAGATCACTGTCCAGCCCTCAGGATATGAGTGAATTTTTCCCTAACTTCCAGTTGTGACATATTTAGCACTGGCAGACAGATGCAAGAACCTGTAATCACAGATCTCTTCTTACATCACAGATGGTTTATAATTTGTTAAAGTACTAGACTTAACTGGGTTTTGCACATGCATTCCCTAACACTTCCACAGGGTAAGAAGTCTAGTACAGAGCAGTAAACATCATGTTCTGCACCCACAACATTTCTTCGTTTTTCTACATACTTCTTATAACCAATACTCCTAAAACTAAACATTTTATTACTACTCTTACAGAATACAAAGAACTTTGTCACCCAAATAAAAGCCCAACAGAGTATTTATCATCACACAGTGAGAGCGTAGTGAAGCACTGGAACAGGTTGCCCAGAGAAGCTGTGGATGCCCCATTCCTGGAAGTGTTCAAGGCCAGGCTGGACGTGGCTTTGAGCAACCTGGTCTAGTGGAAGGTGTCCCTGCCCATGGCAGGGGGGTTGAAACTAGATGGTCTTTAAGGTCCCTTCCAACCCAAACCATTCTATGATTTAAAAGCATGCTTAAATTGAAGCACAAATCCCAATAACTTTTAAAATACATGTAGTTAAGTTTTCCATAATCTCTCTTCATTAACACGATTGAGAATCTTCTCTAGAACTGAACATAAACAGAAGTTATCCTTGGAATTATAAAGGTATGGAGCGTCTCAGGTCAAGGTTTTTCTTAAGATGTAGTGTCTGCACACGTTGAACCCAGGGGCAAACATCACAAGGTGGAATTCTTCAGCTGATCAGTAGCTCCTCAGCTGTCCCAGCTCCTATAACTATCCAAACTACCTTTCCTCCTGTCACCCACCTGACATACAAAGCAGCACAGGGAGCCACTGAAGGCATAGCTCAGCTCCTTCACTAATCAAAACCCAGCCACACACGCTTAATGATACAATAGGGAAGAGGCACAGCCAGGAAAATACATACAAAAGTCACCTCTCCAAGAATATCAATCACCATTCTCTTTTCTTAAATTAATGCATTAGCTGGATAAGTGTTGGAGCTTTCTGATTACAACTCGCTATGCCAAGATTAAATAGAGGTGGGAATTTTTTTTTGTTTCTTTACCTCTGTCTTTTATAGACATTTTTAACTGCATTACTTGCTTTAGATATCACAATTATGTTTTTTTACATACAGTTTACCTCAGAATGGTTTAGGCTTTGTAAGATTCTGGAGTAAACAGGTAAGAACATGCCATTGCTCACCAGAAAGTGTGGTGAACCCACTCTGCAGAGCTCCCTGAAGATTTAAGCCCTGATTCTATGCACAACTCTGGGTAACAGAGTGTACCCTCATTTCAGGTGTACAGCCCTGGAGAGGAAGAGGTGTTACATAGTAACATGTAATAGCCAAAAAGCCCTTTCACCAGTAGCGAGATACCAGGGTGCATCCTCAATCCCCTGAGGTCAGAAGTGTCACGAGTGGGTATCAGTCACGGATGAACCCAAATCATTCTATGATTCTATGAAGAAGCAGCATCACTTCCCCAAAGTTACACTTTTTGAACAAGCATTGCTGTAAGACATAATGCTCTGCATAAACATGTACTAAGGAACAAATACAAATCCCACAGGTGTCAAGACCTGAATTACTTGCAAGCAGCGACGAACACAGTGTGAATAGCTGGCCAAACAACATCACCTAAGATTCCCAAAAAACTGTTCTTATCGTCAAACCACTTTACCTTTACTTTACTGATGCTACAAGTAGTCCTGAAGATAGCCCCCCAAAAAATGGCTTCAGCTAAATCACAAGCATGCCATCTCACTTGAATTGAAAAAATTCAGCAGCCAATAACACTAATTAATATGAAATTCTGGTACAGCGTTCACGTGAAAGCTAGGATGAAGTGAGCTTTGCTTTCTGAAACAGACCATCCTGGTATCATGTCATTCATTTATCTTGCACTTCTTGAGAACTGAAAAATGAGACAAATCATAAAAAGGTCCTATTCTAAACACGACAGGAAATTCAAAACAGAAGACAATGTGGCACATGACAGAAAGAACTCTTTAATGGATAATAATATGTATTGTAATCACTGCAAAAAATTAAAATTATTTCAAACAGAAGACTGTGTGCTGACATAGTGGCTGAACTGCCTTTAAATTTATTTATTTAAGCAACTAGGAGATTTTTAGAAAGAAGATATTCTAGAAAAGGAAATATTGCCATGAATGGAAGTAGTTAACATTGCTGATAATCTTATCTTCCCTGTTCATTAATGGAGGAGATGTCTTCTTCCTATTTATCAAAAAAACAAAAAACAGGACATTTTTGGGCCATGATTCTTCTATATTATTGAAGTAGAGATCATCAAAGCAATTAAATGTAGAGATACTAGGTCTGTGTGAAGTAAACCAAAGGACTAGATAGGATTAACCTAGTAATCTGATGCCAGATGTAGTAAAAGTCTGAAACAAAGGTCCTAGAATAAACACTTTTTGGATGACTTCAATGAGAATGAAAATAATGATATTCTGCCCAAGCTCCTCAAACAATCCGTGGAATGTGCTACTGTCAATTCAGCTCTTCAACTGCAGCTCCTGATATCTCATAATCCTAGTATCTACACTGTCCCGAAGATGAAGATGACACACCACTACTGTCAGAAGAAAGTGTACAGATTAGTGGCAGGTGATGACAATACTGGTGAGAACCACAAGGTTAAGAATCATCTGCCTTCTCAGAAATTCCATTTAATTTGAGAATCTCAGTTTAAAGAGTGTGGGGATAAAGAGGCTGAGATGTTAGTATGATGATGAAATCGTGAAGTCTACAACAGTTGTGAATAGTGGCCATATGGAAACTTAGCTGAAAGATGCTGAATTAAGTAACATAAGGGTTTGGTTTACTCTAGCTCTTTTCTGACTTGACTTCACAGCAACTGAACTTGGGGATAATTCTTTTTCAATGGAGAACTGCAAGTAAGATGAGGTTCCTCTTCTGCCAACTCCTATAGTAAAGGAAGAGGTTGATCTTTAATTTTTCTTTAAGCCTCCTCTTTGGTAGAAACAGCAGCATCAACATGGAGTCAGTTTTTCTAACATGACACCAATTTTAAACAACTGAGAAAGAATTAAAAAATTGGAAAAAAAAGTATAAGCATAATTGGTATTGGTCAATATTAATTTTGGAACTGATAAGGCTAAACCCTAGCCTACTCTTACCTGGGAAATGTTTAGCAACAGAGACGCTAACATGATTAGCATAAAAATTCTTCAAAAAAAGATTACCAGTGGCTTTGTATCAATACCAGAGTAGTTTCTTTTTTTTCTGTAAGCAATTAGAAACCTAACCCTAACCTCCTTCAGAAAACATTCCCTGTGTTTTAAGAAAGCTATGTCTGAAATACTTTGAGGAGAATTTAATTCCTTTACTTGCTATTGGGATCTCTGCTCCATGCACATCAGAGAAGTTCTCAAAGTCTGTGCTGACACTGATTTGACGGCTTTGAAAAGGATTCACTGATTTGTCTTGTCAAGATATTTTAAACTTGGCTTTGCTAGGC